TCACGGGGGAGGTGGGAGAGGGAAAGGAGTGGAAAGTAAGGGTGAGAATAATCGTCCTTCACGAGCCTACTGATAGTGTTTTAAAGCAAAATATTTTCAGTCGCAGCATTGGTAGTGTCGAGTACACAAAATATGAAAAATCTCTCTCTCTCTCTCTCTCTCTCTCTCTCTCTCTCTCTCTCTCTCTATATATATATATATATATATATATATATATATATATATATATATATATATATATATATATATATATATATATATATATATATATATATATATATATATATAATTCTCTTCTTGAAGACGCTAGAAAACAAGCTGTAAGCGCGCTCCCTACCACACCATTCCTACATGGTCTGGTGAGCTGTGGTTCACGCTAAATGTTTACAATCATAGAGAAGGGTTTAGTGACGGCTATTAGGGGCAGATAATTTAGTTTGAAACCATTTTAAACTTAGGGAAGGTAACTAAGAGGAGGCTGCTTTCACGGGGGGGGGGGGGTGTAGGGTAGGGGTTTGGGGAAAGGAGGGGGAGGGTAGTATCGTCCTTAACGACCTACTGATAGTGTTTTAAAGCAAATATTTTCAGTAGCAGCATTGGTACTCTCGAATTCACAAATTATGAATCACTGTAAAGTAGCAAATTAAACAACTAAATATGATATGCCGCGGGTCGGCTCGTAGCAAATAAAACAACTAAATAGCGGTGTATGTTACGTTGCGGGTCAGCGCGTTCAGAATAATCTGTTTCATTTGAAATGTTATCTGAGCGTCTTTTATTCCAGCTCAAATTGTTTAATAGCAAACCGCAGCCAACAATTAGGTACAAGACATGCAATGAAAAGGCGATGAAGTCAAGGTTTTTAAACCAAGTACAATTTAAATTACTTATTTGTGAAATTTTTATCAACGGTTTCATAATGAATATCTACTGATTTGCCTTCCTCGTAGAAATGTCATAGATTAATCCAAATTTTTGGGGTATAGAACTTGACATAAAATATATATTGAGTAAACTAATATAAATTTAAGCCAATACTCATAAACCATTTTCTCACTACAACCGATAAAGAAGAACTTAGTAACAGCCTTCACAAAATATACCAATTAAAAATACACAGCATGGGAGGTAATCAAATTTAAAATGTAAATAATTGACTAAAATATGATTATACTGTTATTATGGTTACAAACTCAAATCAATTTTATCATCTAATTTATTATAAAATAATTGTACATAATATTAATTTAGAAAGGAATTACATATTTTACGAAAGAAAATATAGCTATGTAACTGGGATTGAAAACCTTTTCTTTTTTAAATATACGCAATTTATTAAAATTCATCCATTATTTAAATTTTGTTATGTTTGCTCTATAACCGGCTTGCAATTATTTCTTTAAACACTTGACTTGGTGATCATAACATATAATCTGTATTAAATGCCTGGAAGTTAAATCCTACTGACTGTACCAGTTACTGAATTGATCAGATGGAATTGAATTCTTTAACACTTACGTCAGCTATCATGTCAGTGGCGTAGCTAGGATCTTTAGGCCCCTAAGCAAAAATTATAATTGGGCCCCTACCTTAATCTGGAAATTGTGTATTTTATACGTCCATAGTTGTGTATACGGTATTATCATGTAGTACCCCGTAGCGTAAAATACCTTTGATTTTATATCAATTTAATGATAAAACAAACTAAAAAAATAACTGTAATCCTGTAACATTTAAGTAACCTAACACAGTAGCTTCACGAGGCGGGGGCCTCACAATTTAGGCGTGACACCATGACGAAAACTCGTAAAATTTACTGTCAAAACTATATTTTATTGAGTTAAAATAATAAAATATTAAGGAGAGGGGGTAACACTCCACCGGAAATGCAAAATTGTTAGACGAGGTGGGAGTGACACTCACTCAACGCACCGGGCGAATCTTGTGACGCCTCTAACTAAATACACATTTTTAAAAGTTGCTTATGATTTATTTAGATTTTTTTTTTCTTTCTAATAAGTTTACAAAGTGATTAATATGTTCCTTGAAGTCCACGTTAGCTGCTTATATATGTTCGATACTTTGGATGGCCAAGCTACTGACCCAAAGGGCATATCTACAACTTGTTTCATAACGTCACCATAATCGAGAGACTCGAGGCGTCCGACTCTATTACTGTAGAGGCGCTGGAGGACACCCCTTATTTTCTTTAGCCATTGATTAATTAAAGTATCCCTCCGAATCCCTAGGGCATGGCGCTCATTAAAACAAGTGTATGCGCCGTAGTGCTCACGGGGGAGCCCGGGGTTCCGGTTGATGCACCTGTGCAGTTTGACCGTTGAATTAAGCAGCAACCCTGACCCCTTGTGCAGGACACCCAATTAACTGACCCCAGGTGCTAAACAAGCCGCTGGAAAACTCTAGATGGCCAAGCGAACCGCATTACCGACTGTCAAGGGGCCGCTCTCCGAACGAAAAAAAATGTAATGGTAGAAAACTTTACAGTAGTCAGAGTTTGATTCTGGCTTCTCTTTGAGGGGAGAGGCACTGCACCTCTTGTGTGGGGTTGTGGTAGGAAATTTCACGGTAAGTAGAGGTTTGTCTGAATTATTCTAAACGACTTCCCAATGTTTCTTGGCGATTGGGTAATTTTTGTATTAATGCATAAAGGACAAGGAGACAAACAAAAATATTTAAGTAGCGGCATATTGATTAGAGATAAATTAGATCAACAAACACATTGTGACTAAGGTTAAAACTAGAAAAAACATTGACACATTTTCGACTTAGCTTGTTGTGAAAACACTGTCCACGGCTGTTATTAAAAAAGAAATGGCTATATCATGGATTGATGGAATTTCGATGAGGACAGAGAGGGGAGGGGTGCAGGTTTGTGGCGGTGGGGTGGAGAGTTTTTAGCGATGCGTAGGCATATACATTTGCGGGTGCCGGATGCCAATCTCACAACAGAGTCAATTTTCAAGTTTATTTATAGGTTAATTCTCTCTACGGCTTTCCCGACAATGCAACAATGCCTATTGTGTTATTAATACCGATGGGCCTTGTACACCCCCCCCCCTCCCCAGTAAGAAAGGTTTGGGGGCCTTTTTTATTTTTTTTTTATTACTTCTACATTAGAAAAGAAACTGGATTTCTGTTTTCTTTTTAAAATTATTTTTATAATACAAATATTAAAAGTCCAATGTAAAAGTTCATGCAAATTTAAAGAGGGAAAAGGGCCCTTATTTGCCTTGGGCCCCTATGTCTTGCTTACGCTAGCTTTACGGTAGCTATGCCACTGAATCATGTGCACAATCACTCAGTTAAAATGTAACTTCCTACATTGTTTATATATGTCTCATACAATCAAAAATCTTTTTTTTTTTATTACAGATTTTTATTTAACTCACCCTCTCTGTCGTCAGTCTGTCTAGATCGAAACGCCCGAGCGAAAATTCAGGCACTTCTAACTGACAGATTCGTTTCATTGTTGTTACGTAGTCAAGACATGAAGACTATGCAACATGACATTAAAATTGACTTAATTTGTTGCCTAATTATATTTTATGAATTAATTCAAATTAGTAGGTAGTCTTACACAACTATTCCGCACCATTATACACAAGTCATCACGTTCATTAGGCGCGCAATGGTTTTTAGTCATGCAACTCTATTGTAAATTCAAAAAAATTAAAGTACTGAAAAAATAATTCATAAAAAACGTTTTAATAACATGCATTTATGTAATAATGCCCTAAAAAGTAGAAAATAAAATATTCCCTACTGTTTAAATAACTATAAAGAAAAGCGTGGGTCACTTTAGTAACTATTGGATACCTTTACTTTAGGAAGAGACCAACGCTTTTCTTTATAGTTATATAAATAGAAGTGTATAATTTATTTTCTAATTTTTAGAGCATTATTACATAAAAGCATGATATTAAAACGTTTTTTTATGAATTTTTTAAAATACATTTTTTCCTCATCCTAATAATGAGACACTAACTAAGCAAGAAGATTGACAAATTTTATTTTTAAAATTCCCGTAAGGATTAATGGAAAATTTCAAACGTTAATTAAGCCACAAAATATCGTCGTCTTCCGCTTTGATTGTGAGACAAAGTTCTCCACAGATTTAAACTGTCAAATGGCTGGATACTGAATGACAATATTCATGTCAAGTCGATCGATTACTTTACAAAAAAAATTATAGTTTAATTAGATCTTTGTAACAGTATCGTAAACCGGGCCATAAAAGATCCACATCACGTAGAACAAATAATTGTTCTGTCGATGTAAGACACAAAGCTAACAGGATGTAATAAATATCACTATGGTGATTCCATTGTTAGTGTATGCAGCCACAATTTCACCTCAAATATTTTTACGAGACTTTTCTGTTTTAATTAAATGGCAGGCATTGTTGTTCTATAATTAGTAATCATAACAAGAAATATGTAGCAGGTAGTCAATAAGCACGTTTTTTTTTTATTTGAAGTAGGAAATTTCTATTTTGAAGGAGGTTATATTTTTTCCATAAATATTACTACAAAATTTCACTGTTTGTATTAAATGTCTGGCATTCTTATTCTATACATAATTATCATAACAAGAAATATGGAGTCATTAACCTATAATCACGTTTTCAATTACATTAGTTTGATTTGAATTAGGAAATTTCTATTTCTTTTTAGTATGACTTATTTAAAAGCAAGAATAATTTTCTAAATCTAAATAATTGCATATAAAAATTAAAATTCTTGATTTTAAATTATTTATAGGACGATAACAACTCATGAACACGTTTACATATTTTAATTCGAAATAATTATTAAAACTTGAAATATTTAAACGTCGCTACAACGTTCGACACAGCTTTAAAAAAAAAGGAAAATGAGCATTGTATATTTTAGTGTTGTAAATAACATTTTATTCCTACCGTTTATTGTTAGCAACGTATCAGACAGTAGCTAGACCAGATGGAGTCAATGACCAACAACATGACGACAACTTCAGACACAGACGATGGTCTGGTTACAGATGAGCAGTACTTGTTGTATGAAGGGCTACTGAGTTCAACACGAGCGCTGATTGCCGCCCTTGGTTGTATGGGGAACGTTATCAACATCTACATATTTCTGAAGCTGGGATTCAACGAAGGCATGAACTTGTCTTTAACTTTACTCTCGTGTTTTGACCTCATGTATTTAGTAACGGTCATCTCCAGGTCGGTGTCTTTCGTGTTTTTAGCTTACGAGCGGACCCACCATAGGACTATGTGGTTTCCTGTCCAGCCTTACGCTGTTTACATTTTCTGTGGGCATGCTGGAAGAATCCCACACGCCTCATCCAACCTGATGACGACCTTCGTGGCCTTGGCCAGGTGCGCCAGTGTGGCCAAACCGCTACATTTTAAACAAACATTCAGCCAACAACTCACTGTAATATGGGCGACAGTTTTTGTAGTATTTGCAGTAGTGAGTTACCTCCCTATACTAGTGTTTATGGGAGTTATCCCACAATTCGACAAGGACGTGAACTTGACAAGACCGGCGCTGTGGATTTCACCACGAAGAGAAGAAGTTAAAGATGCAATTTGGGGGTTACGTGACGCATTCCTTCCGCTTTCCACTCAACTCTTAATCGCAGTCTGTGTAGTTCTAATGACAAGGTACCTAAAAGCATCTTTAAAGTTCAAAGCCGTTCATTCAAAATACAGCTTTACGCAAGGGGTTGTCAATGAAATCTCTCAAAATATTGGTATCACCACCGCTACAAAATCGAACGGAAGCTCAACTACAAAACCAGGTAAAGAACTACAGGTGATTCAACAGGTGGTGCTGATCTGTGTGGTGTACATCACCTGCAACACGCCCACCATCCTCATCAACTTCACCGGTCTGTTTGTGCCAGAGTTCTCTATTGAAACAAAGTTCCGCAACTTGTACCTGCTGGTGACGGGTGTCAAACACTTTTTCCAGACCATCAACGCCAGCATCAACATACTTGTGTACCACCGCTACAACAGCAAATACAGGCGTAGATTTCCTGTTTGTAGACACCGTGTCTGAGTAATAGAACATAATTATGTCACACACGCGTGCGTGTCAGTCGTTTCTTATAAATCTATATTGACAACAGAGTTTCTTACTTGCATTTCTTCGGGGGAGGGGGGGGGGCGGTAGGGGCAAAAGAAGTCTACTGTAGCCCCCCCCCCCCTTCCCCCCCCCCAACGAAATGAAATATATATAGAAAACATATACCCTAAAATATTTAGTCCGCCCCCCCCCCCCGAAAATATCAAGTGACCTCCACCCCCCCCCCCCCCCCCCTGGAAGAAACACTGATTGACGAATACTGTAACTTCAACGCAAGGGTCGAAAAATATATATAAAAACATGGTTTAAGTCTTTAGTTTGTATACCTGGTTCTACCTTATGCGTTCAAATAACACTATTTGTTGATATTACTATTTTAGTAAGGACGCCTGTTTCCAACCCTTCTAAAGTCGTCTGTCAGTTATTTCTTCCACGCGCTTGTCAGTAGCTCAGAATTTCTTTTACCCACTTGTAAAATCTCGAGTTCGAATCCCTGGCTCGAATCGATGAGACGTCCATGAGTCCAGTTATCTCTGATGAGTACGTGACTCACGTTGGGGAACGTAAAGTCGGTCAGTGTTTCTTTCAGTCATTTTTCTCCGAGGGGAGAATTGAAAATTTCGGTAAAAGTGTGGAACGCACTGAATTTTTTTTGGAAGGGAAAGTGCGGGGGAGGGGACACTTGTTAAAGTATATATTTTCTATAAAAATTGTATTTTCTGTATAAATTATATAATGTTCTATTTCGTTGCGCGTGAGGAATTGACACCCCACTCGCCCCCGCCCCCCAACCCAAATACATGCCTCCCTGAATCCTGAATGCAGCTGCACATAGTGGCTGCCAAAATTAAGAATGCATTAACTTGATTGTGTATTTTGTTTTATAACGTTTCGTAATATGCCGACCCCTAGGGCCTGGTCAGCGTGTTATTTGTATCAAATGTCTACGTTCGGTCGAGGAATTTCACCAGACACACCAGATTCAACTGACGACCGTTATAATTAAAAGTTAATACATACAAATACACACATACACACACACACACACACACATATATATATATATATATATATATATATATATATATATATATATATATATATATATATATATATATATATATATATATGGTTGTGTGTGTAATATGAATTCAATTGTGGTTGGTTAGCTATACTTCATTTTTAACTTTATAAGAATAAAGGGAAAGAACAAAACAATTAATATCCAAAAAGACAAAAACTCTACATAGAAATTTAATGCAGACGGTTAGTAAATTATGATTCATTATTTAGTATATTTTTTGTAGAACATTTAAAGTTTAAAATACAAATTTTAAGTTGCTATTTATTTCTTGTATACTTTATTTTAAATTCACTCTAAGCTTAAGAGTGTAACCCTTATAAACTATTATACTTTGTTTTATTAAATACAAAGAAGATGAGTATTAACAATGTTGTGAATTCTGCTTATATTCTCATTATTATTGAATCTGTGAATTTCTGTGAAGACAACTTGTATTTCAACTTGAATTTACAAGATGATTTATGGTATTATGCATGAAAACGGCTGGTCAATAAAAGCACAAATAAAACAATCTAAATAATCTTTATAACATCAAGTGTTGAAACGCACGGAAAGTTAGAACAAAACTTTTCAGCATTTTTGCTTAAAAGCTTTGGTCGCTAAAATATCTCATCAGCGACCAAAAAAGTCTTCTTTCTGAATATCGGCTGTGTGTAATTCAAGTATACAGCTCGAAAAAGCTTTTAGGTTTTTTTTCTACCCTTTTTTTTAAATAACTAACACAAAGGTAAAGGTCTATATTTGAACCAGCCCGAACTAACTAGGTAAGAAATTGGACATACAGCCTAACCTAACTGGCGAACATGCCACCTTGTCAAATGCCCAGACCGAAATAACAAAATACGTCTGACATTAAGTTTGTATTATGACATCACTTTTGAAATCCGGTACCCTACTCCTAGGCACTAGCGTGGCTTTTCGTGATACTGGTTAGCAGAGGCGTCGCGAGGCGGGAGTGCAGAACGCACTGAGTGACACTATTTAGGAGGTGACACCAAGACAAGAGCATTGTAAGACATGTAGAATAAATATGTTTTTGTCAGTCCAATGAATGGTTAATTAGAGTTAAAGTTCAAAAGTATTTTGAATACATAATGACGATCCCAGGGGGTGTGCAGGGGGGAGGGGGGGGGGGGGGAGGGTGGTGACACCATGACGTAAACATGCAAACTATAGAGAAAAACAATGCGACACCCACCTGTATTAACAACTGACTATTGATAAACATCATTAGCATTAAATGTGAACATTGTAAAGCTATAACCGTGGGGGAGGGGGGAAGAGATCGACACCAACTACAAAATTTACAGAGAAAAAATAATTAGGAGGTGACACCGTGACTTGCCGCACCGGGTGACACCCGACCTAACGACGCCACTGCTGCTTAGTCCTCGAGAAACAAGCCCGACCATTCACAAACCCAGCTAGATTTTGTCAAGATACTTACGCGTAACCATATAACACAACTACAACAACAATAAAATAGCAAATACAACCAGCTTGTAGCTGCGTTTTATTTGTTATTAAAACCTTGTATTAGAGGTATGGGTGTTAAAATGTTGTATTATGCCTTAGTGACGTTCATAAATAACGTCCCGCTTTGTTTGACAATGTTGTACCATCCTACCATCTCATTAACGTCCCGCTTGACAATATTGTACCATCCTACCATCTCCTTAACGTCCCGTTTCACAATGTTGTACCATCCTACCATCTCCTTAACGTCCCGCTTGACAATGTTGTACCATCCTACCATCTCCTTAACGTCCCGCGTTGTACCATCCTACCATCTCCTTAACGTCCCGCTTGACAATGTTGTACCATCCTACCATCTCCAAAACGTCCAGCTTGACAATGTTGTACCATCCTACCATCTCCTTAACGTCACGCTTGACAATGTTGTACCATCCTACCATCTCCTTAACGTCCCGCGTTGTACCATCCTACCATCTCCTTAACGTCCCGCTTGACAATGTTGTACCATCCTACCATCTCCAAAACGTCCAGCTTGACAATGTTGTACCATCCTACCATCTCCTTAACGTCCCGCTTGACAATGTTGTACCATCCTACCATCTCCTTAACGTCCCGCTTGACAATGTTGTACCATCCTACCATCTCCTTAACGTCACGCTTGACAATGTTGTACCATCCTACAATCTCCTTAACGTCACGCTTGACAATGTTGTACCATCCTACCATCTCCTTAACGTCCCGCGTTGTACCATCCTACCATCTCCTTAACGTCCCGCTTGACAATGTTGTACCATCCTACCATCTCCTTAACGTCACGCTTGACAATGTTGTACCATCCTACCATCTCCTTAACGTCACGCTTGACAATGTTGTACCATCCTACCATCTCCTTAACGTCCCGCTTGACAATGTTGTACCATCCTACCATCTCCTTAACGTCCCGCTTGACAATGTTGTACCATCCTACAATCTCCTTAACGTCCCGCTTGACAATGTTGTACCATCCTACCACCTCCTAATGCTACGCTTTTTTACAAAAAGTTAAGCCTCCACTAAAATGACTCAACATAACAGCCTTTTCTTCCCACTTTCAAGATTACATTTAACTACAGAGATTTTGATGTCAATTTTCAAAAACTCTCTCAGTTTTCAGAACTTTCAAAAAAGCAATATAGTAAAAATTGAAATAACTGCGAATATTTATTTAACAATCATTGCTAATGATTACTGTACCGTCTCTTTTATTTATAGCCCCCCCCCCCCTCTCATCACACATTGTTACAGAAGTTTATACACCCCTCCCCAACCCACCCCTTGGAGTGCAATGTTATTTTTAGATGATACCATAATAATGCTTCTGTTACTTAATTTCAACACACACACAAAAACTCACTATCTTAAGAAAGGTAGGGACGTTATACACATACATATACATCTTGTTTATTTCTAAAACTTTAAATTTTGTGAAAAAAAAAATTTTTGTAAACCTTTTAAATTATCGCATGACAGTTTTATCAAGAAATAACTAAACTTAAATTATTTTAAAATTATATTTCAAGACTCAACTTTGTGACACATTTCACAATAAATTCTTTTCATATTCTTCGCTTGATATGCAGTGCCGGCGCCAGGTTATTTAGCGCCCTAGCCAAAACTTATCAAAACGCCACCTTTCACACACATCAGTTACCATAACATGTGTATAAGAAAACAATTGGGAGTGATAAGGGGTCGGCGTGGTCGAGTCTCCAGTTCGAACACTCGGGCAGATGAGGCTCGTTAGATGGGGGACAGCCACTCTTCTAGGAGAGACAACTCCAAAATCAAACTACCGCCTTGTAGTTTGTTCTTGGTTGGACAAACTATGGAAGCAAAATCCAAAAAGAAAAGCAAGCTGAAATCGGAGTCAATGGCCTCAATGGCGCATAACCAGTTGACACGTAATCCTTAATTGTGATGGAAGCGTAGTCGAGTCGGCAAAAGCTCGAAAAAAGTCTAGAGTTCAAACCCTCTAGCAGATAAGGCTCGATCCCTTCCACTACTAAAAATTAAGAACGTAGAAGAAGAGTGATATGTTCATTTATTATCAGTTGCATAAACGTTATAAGTAGACATCAAAATCAAATTTTATTTGCCTCTTTCGTCGTTAACGTTTGTACTAATTCGTGAAGCCTAATCCCATTCTACTATTGAAATTGTTGCCAAGTCCACGAGTCTACTTTACGACCTAGTCTCCCCTTCCCCTCTCCCCGGGAGAAAAAGTCAGGGGGGGGGGGGGAATGGAAAAAAAAACCCACAGTTCTTGTGGTGTTGGACTCTCTGCAGACCTCCCAAGGTAAGTTCCATAACGGAACTTACCTATTTTAAGCTTGACTGTCTTTAGCTGTAATTGTAAAATGTCTATATTTTGTGA